GTCATTGTTGTTTGGCGGGTCCGGGCTGGGGATTCGAACCCGCCACCTTAGGTGTACGTGGCTGGCGCCTTAGCCGGTTGAGCTATAGGCGCTGAGCCAGCACCATATTTCTATTGAACAGTGTTGCCTCAGGCCCACAGCTGCCTGGAGCCCTCCAGACCCATCCTTATCAGCTGGGTCCAGGGGGCAGGCGTGGGTCTGAGAGAAGAGCTCCCACATCACACTTCTGGTCCACTGCAGTGTTAAGCTGAGGGCAGTGAGAGCCCCTTATCAAAGCCAGAGGTCACCCAGAAATGCCCTCAGCCCAGGACTGACCTACCAGCACCGCATGCTGACTCCATGGCTGCATGGCTGAGGATGTGAGTCCTTCCCACTGAGCTGAGGTACTAGATCCCCGGAGTCAGTGCTGAGAGAACACCCACCGCCCACCATCAGGTTCCCTGGACCCCCAGCAGGGAGGTAGTCTATCAGTGAGGAAGACCTCCTTCCACAGATGTTAAGAGTGCATTACACACATGTCCACCCCAGGTTCATTTTCAATGCTTTCTGCCTCGTGGACTCACAGAACTTTGGAATTGGAGGCTATTGCTCTGGGGAGGAAATGAGGCAAACAGATATCAGTAGCCCCAAAGCTAGGTTCTCAATTTAACCTCTTCTTCCCTTTGTCTCTCAGAGGAGGTTCAAGGCCCTTCCATCATAGCTTGATCATCTTTGCATGTGCTGTGCCCTCTATCAGGAATGTTCTTCCTCCCTCCCATGTAGCTCCTTTGGGTTGGAAACTATTTATTCCTTAGGTCTCCATTGCCTAGAGTCTCTAGGAGGGTGAAATGCACAGTATACAACTCAGCACATGGGCAGAGTGAAGCGTATGACCAATAGACTTCATTGTGCAATGATAAATGAATGAATGGTGTCACTTCCTGAGAGAAACCCTTTCTGAATTCCCCCATCCCCAGAACAGCCCAGGGCTCCCTAACTCCTCAGTTTTCTTATCATCCGTGTCCCCACTGGACTGTGAGCAGTCAGGGCTGGGACAGCAGCTACATTCCTCACTCTTTCCAGAGCCCAGCTCCGTAAATAATGAATGAAAAACAAACCCAGGCAAAAATCTTGGACCTAGGGACATACCTGGGAGGTCCTCCCAAGTTTTCCAATGTCTCAGGCAGATGGAAAGGGTGCAGCAGCCCTGCCTTTGATGTAGAACCTCACCTCTTGGCGGTGGTAAAACAAGGTACATCCCTCACACTGTCAGAATTCCAGGGGAATAACATGGATCAGATGAAACACGGCCCCCAAAGTACAGCACTGGTGTGTACTGAGTGCCACTAAGACTTTATTATAATTCCTTAGGAGACAGCAGCAGGGCCCTTGGGAAATTCTTGGTATTTTCCTGAGCCCGTGTGTGGTGTGTGTGTGTGTGTGTGTGTGTGTGAGAGAGAGAGAGAGAGAGAGAGAGACAGAGAGGGAGGGAGAGAGAAAGAAAGACAGACACCCTCCAGGTTCCCTACCTCATCCAATGCAATGGAGCCTCACACCAGCCAGCACAGAAAACATTGCTTTATTAACTGCATCTGCCAACACACGAGGAGTGCAAAGGGCTCCTTAAGACACAAGCCCTGGTAGGGCCAGGGTCTGGAAGCCCCTATGAGTGAGCAGGACAGGATGGGGCTGGGAGCTATGCAGCAGCAGCAACACAGAATCATGCAGGGCACAGCAGGCACTGGCCACACTCAAGTGACCATACATTCTATTGCTCGTTAAGGGTTGCGAACATGGACAATGTACAAAAAGGAGAAATAGGTCTTTGCGTTAATGAAAAATACATTTTTTCTCTACAAAGGAATCTTTTCTAATACAAGAAAATAAATATTGCAACATAAGCCAAAAATAATTTAAAATTGCTCTTTTCAATATATTTTCAATATTTCTCTTGTATATTAACAAATGGCACATCACTTTCTTTGAAACAAAGACAGAAGGTGTCTCCTCCTGTGACATTCATATCATCCCCACCACCACCCCACCAAACTGATATGGAGCACAAAGTATTTGTGCATCTGAGGGAAAAGGTGGCAGGAAATGCCTTAAAGAACAACCAAAGGTCCCAGACTCCAGCCCTGGCTTTTTGGCCAATGTGGCCAGCTGGGCCAAGGGCCTTGCTATAGGGATCCAGATCATTCTTCAGAGTTTCGGGCATGGGCAAGTTGGCCACATGTGGCAGTGAGCAGGGAAATGCTGCTGCCAATGTTTGTTAGAATTGGGCAGCTGAATCTCCAGGAATTGCCCCAGCCACGTCCCACAGTGTGCCCTTATACAACACACACAGACATGAACTCACGTGGACACAGGCAACATGCCCTGGCACACCCCTCAATAGTACAACACCCACGTTTGGAAACCTGGGCGGTCACACACTGTCACCAAGGCTGAGCTCATCTAATAAAATAAACCCTCTACCTTTCTTCTCATTTGTTTCAAAATACATTTATGATACATAAAAATACTTTCCTTGCACATTATCCTTTGTCATGTGATGAGGTGGATGGCTGCAGGCAGCCAGGATGGTGCGAATGGGGGACGACAGCCAGAATGAGTTACGGAGCAGCTCTTCCTCCCTGAGGAGGAACAGTTGAGTGTGGGCAGATGTGGTCAAGGGAAAAGACCTGCCTTGGCCTCTGGCCTGGAAAAGGAACCAGCCTTGGTCTCAGGGGCAACAAAGCCCTCTACACTGTGGACAGTAGGCTGGAAAGAGTGAAGTGGCTGTGGCTAACAGGGGACCGGTGTGGGGCCAGAAGGGCATCCTTGTCCTCCTTGCAGCTGGGTAGACATCCTAGAGGTGGAAACAGCTACTTGGTGAAGACTGCTCCAGAGCCTGGCCTGGAAGTGAAGGTGCCTCCAGCCAGTCAGCCTAACAGATACTTGGACTCTGCAGGACACAGGTCCTACAGGTAGTCTATTCCAAAGAAATACCCAACAGAGAAGAGGGGCCAGAATCAAAAGGCAAACTTGAGCAGAGAATCTCTGAAGAACGCCAGCTATATCATCTGCCTGCCCAGGCGGGGACTAGCCCTGGTTGCAGAGCTAGGCTGCCCCCTGGAAAGAGGACAGACTCACTGTACCCTCTCCCTAATTCTCCACCTGCCCCCGTCACCAGAGAGCCTGCCCCCAGATGGTGTGAAGGGGTATAAGAGGGCCGGTGCTGACCCTGCTGGATCCTAAGCCCTCCTGGCAACCTGCCCCCTGGCAGAGTTTGGTTGTTCTTTAAGCTCACCCTTTTGCTTCCTGCAGGGTCAGACTGGGCACTCCAGCACAGACAAGGTTGTGGCCTGAATTGACCCAAAGAATGGGTAAGGAAGGAGGTCTGTTCAAAGGCAGTAAACAGAGACTGGGGTTGGGACGCTGATACTGACGCTGCACTGGTCACTACTACCAAGGCGGGCAGGCAGACTAAAACTCTACACAGTGGTATGTGCCATCCCAATGCCCAGACTCCTTAAAGCCCACCCTACCCCTTCTGAGTCCACTCAGATTAGACAAATTTGTCTGATCTTCTAAACGTAGTCATTACCTTTGTCTCCTATTTTGCTAAAATTCACATGAAACTGAGTGTTGATAAGAATGCCACTGTCGTACCTTGATAGGTTTGGAGTCGGGGTGGATGAAGGTCAAGCTGTTCTCCATCCTGCTTATTTGCTTTGTGTAAGGTGGAGGTGGGGTGAGACGGGGTGGGGGGCACTAGGGAACCACATGGTAAAGACTTTTTCCACGCTGGTTTCACTGTCAGCATTTTTTCCCCTCTGTGAGTCTCAGAGTTTAGGAAAACTCACAGTGGGCCTAGCCCAGGATCTGAAATCCAACACCCAGGTACAGTTCAGCAGCAGAAAAGCATCCTCTTCCAAGAGCTTGGGCTCTTCTCCTTGGGTGTGTGCAGTGAACATGTTTCTATACTTTGTTGTTAAACAACTCCATTGTTTAAAAAGTCCAAGTGACAAATTGTCAGGTCCAGACTGTGCTGTATTAGGATCAAAATATTCTTTGGCATCCACAGAATGATTTGACTGATTCACTGGACTTTTGCAAGGTTCTTGTTGGAGAAGTTCTGGCCTTACCAGTGGCAGAAGTGACCCAGGAGAAAAAAATGTTTTTACTGAATTCCTTTTTTGTTTGTTCCCTGAGCTATCACCCTGGGGCCACTCCACTGAAACTCTTCAAAGCAACTACCTGGGATCTATGGGTGGGGTAGGGAAGGCAGGACTGTGGGGGGCAGGGAGGGCAGGGCTGGGAAAGGGGTTAAGGCTCAGAGGAACAAAGGGACATCCAGCAAGACTTACAACAGCCCAGCAGGCCACCACTGGCCTGCTGTGGGCCCCGGGATCCCACTGCTTGTTGGAAGGAGGCATTTCCAAAAGGAAACCAAGGAAGAAGCTCATCTCTTAGCAGGACTAGGAAACTAGAAAAGGCAAATGGTCTGGTCTAGTCAGCTCGGTCTGGGAGTGACCAGACTTTGGCCAAGACTGGCCCCAAAGGAAGAAAGGAAGGAAGTTGGAGCCCCAGAGTGATTCTCTGCAGTGGGCTGGTCTAAGCCCCACAACCCTGTCTGGGCACTGGCCCTCCCTTGCAGTCCTCCACCTGTACTGGTAGCTGGCTGTTTGGGAGTCCCCTGAGTAAATGACACAGCTCAGGAAGAATTCTGGGAAACCCTTCCCAGAGCCGCTGGGCTGGGCGCTGGCAGGGGCAGGAGGAGAGAGTGGAGAGGTGGGCGGGCAGGCCTCAGGTGATGGGGGTTGATCAGGAACAGCTTTGGTTCCACTGGAACCAGCAGGCCGCCTGCGCCCCTCAGTGCTTTCTCATATAAGCTCGTTGTGCTTATGACAGTGAGTAGACTCTGGACTACTTCCTTGGGGATCGGTGGAATGCAGCAGGACCCCCCAAATGGATCCCAGTGGGATGTGGGGGCAAGGCGGGGTGGGCCCTGGACTGGCCCATCTGCCATGAAATAATGCCCAAACGACAATCTATATCACCCGGTGGCAGCGGGCTAGAGTCCTGAGCTCTTCTTGCCCTTGCCTATGTCTAGCCAGGAGCCCAGGAATGCCACGTGGGCAGGGGCAGGGATGGTACACAGGACCTGGTAGGGTCCTTACGGCCAGAGCCGTGGAAGGAATCATAATGTCCTAGGCCAGCATAGAGGAAAAACGACAGTGTTGAATTCAAAACTCTCTCTATATTAAAAATAAAACCACAATAGAGTGGCAGCCTCGAGGGTCTGGGACACTCAGCAGAGATTGGAAATGGCAGTTGTGACTGGGCTGAGGCCATGTGGAGGGACCAGGGCAGGGCTCAGGACAAGGATGGGGTGAGTTAGGAGGCCAGTACCCCCATGCGGACCACTTCCTCAGTCCCTGCCTCCCGGGGACCCCGCTGCACCCCACTGTCCTCAGCCTCTGCATCTGAGTCGCTCATCTCCCCATCAGAGAAGTAGCCATCAGTCTCTGTGTCAAAATGTAAGCTGACCTTTGCCCTCTCGGCCGCAGCGGAAGGTAGTCCTGCCCCAGCTTCAGGCCTGGCACCCAGCGATCTCCGGGTTACCTTGCTTTCTCGAGGTGGCCGGAGCCGGCCCAAGGGCTTGGGGCTTGCTGTAGGGCCAGGCACTTGGACGTTTGAGTCGGCAGCCATTGGGGTTACCTCATTCTGGTTCTCTGGGGCCAACAGTGGGGGGCTTTCTGGGGCTGCTAGGATGGGACAGTCCCCAGCTGTAGGGCTGGACAGCAAATGAGAAGATGTCCGCCGTGGTGGTTTCCGGGTAGGTGGCCCTTGGCCCCCCTTGCCGCTGCCTGTATCCTGACCCCAGGGCTTCTTGGGGGATTTGTCTGGAATCAGTCTGTCTGGAGTCGTCCGTGAACCAGGTCCGTCCTGTGATGGTGGTGGTGGCTTCTTCTTGGTAGGCAAGCGGGTACGACCACGGGCCTTCCTAGCAGGGTCGCCAGGTCTCAGTGAGGGGTCCCGCATAAAGCTGAGGAGTGTCTCCTCGTCCTGCAACAGCTCCTCTGACAGCAGCCCGGGAGCAGGGTCCTCACGGTGCCCGTTGTTCAGTGACCACTCGCTCATGGCCATGTTCTCTGCTGTGATCTGCACTGACTGTGCCAGCCAGCTGTTGAAGAAGGTCCCATCGATGGGGAATGAAGTGGACAGGCCTGGCCAAGGGGAGAGAGGAGGCAGGTGAGTTGCTAGCATGTGTGTGTTTCACCCCCTTTCAGGAGTCCCTCTGACCCCCAGCACACTCCTGTGTTCCATCCTTCCTTTCCCTCCGTGCTATCCCTACCACCAGCACAAGAGAGTGGGAGCCCCATCATATGCACTTCTCTCCAGACTGGCTTCATAATTTGCGAGATAAGGTTCAAAATGAATATGTAGGCTCCTTGATCAAGTATTACTAAGAATTTCAAGGTGGAGTGTTATAACAATTTTAGAATGTATCTAGCAGTTTTTTGGTTTTTACCACTACCCTCACATAGCGGGAAAAAAAATTCAAGGTGATAGCCGGGCGTTGTAGTGGACGCCTATAGTCCCAGCTCCTTGGGAGGCTGAGGCAAGAGAATCGCTTAAGCCCAAGAGTTTGAGGTTGCTGTGAACTGTGACGTCACAGCACTTTACTGAGGGTGACATAGTGAAACTCTGTCTCAATAAAACACACACACACGAATTCAAGGTGGCAGCAGCAGAGCATTAAACCAAGCACAGGAGCCAGCCCTGTGCAAGTATGCAGGTGGCAAATCCCTGGAGCTGGCCTGCCACCACTCTCCCTCCTGGTAGGGACAGGAAAGGAGGAATGATAGAAAAGGGCCTCCTGGAATTTTATGAGCATGTTCTCCCACAGAACAACAGGTCAGGCAAAAACGGGCACACAGCAAAGTGTCTGGGGGCAGGAGGGGAGTCCCTCTGGGGTGCCAGGGCCCTCTCTCCTTTGCTGAGGGCTTGTAGGGAGGGAATGGAGGTGCAGCTGGTGAGGCCAGGGCTCTTGTCAGACACACGTATTCCTGCTCTTGAGACAGAAGACATAAAGGACGACCTGGGGTTTTTGTGCCAGAGGTAAGGTTTGAAAGGGGACTTCTATCCACAACTGGAGAAGAGCTCTGGGGAAAGCTGAGAATTCCTAGGAGTCAGCGCTTCCATGAGACTGCTCTGCAGGAAGGAGGCCTGGGACAGTGAAGGTGGTGGGCAGGGCTGGGTCACTGCTCTGGCTCTCTCTGGGTGGCTTTGAGAAGTTTGCTGGTGTTGAAGGAAAGGCCTACTGGGAGAATTCTGGCAGAGTAGCACAGGGATGAGGATTTCTGACAAATATGCTTGTCCTAATATGGGGCTGGCCTAGAGAAATACTAGGGTCCAGGACTCTGGCCAGGGTGGGCAGTTCCTAAGGGCTGGATCCAGCTGCCATCCAGGACTCTGAGACCTGTCTCCTTGGTGGATAGAAGTATAAGCACCTGGGCAAGGGAGGCTTGGTTACCCTCCCTAGGCCTCAATCTCCCACTCTGCACAGTGGGCCTTACGTGGGGTAGAGTGAAGGTGGGAGCCTATGTCTATGGGGCACCCTGGCCCTCACTCACCTAGCTGCCCCAGGACTGAGTCAGGCCCCGCCTTCATTTTCTCTTTCTTCTCAGGGCTGCCCTTGGAGCCCTCGCGGCCTTTCCTCTTCGAGTCACTCTTCTTGCCCTTTGCTCTCCTCCCAGATCTCTCTGCATCAGGAAAAGGAAGAGGAGGGAGATGGTTACCCAGAGGGCCTCAGGAAGGGTAAGATCCTAGCCCAGAAGTTCATCAGCCAGTGTTTACCCTGCGGGGGTCCAAGTCGGAGCCAGGGGATAGCTGGTGTGGTAGGGAGGACCCTGTCCCCACTGCTGCCTTTGCAGCTTGTTGGGGTGGACACAGGGTCATGAGGCGAGGGCTTGCAGAACCTGGACTACAGCTTAACCTATACAACCCACAGGCCATGGGAGAGAGTCCTGGTGGGTGGGAAAGATGGCTGGAGGTGAATCCTGACAGGCGGGGCTTTGACAGCCAGGCCAAGGAGTTGGACATGAAGGTGGAAAGCACACGACCTGAGGTGTCAAGAGGCTTGGGTTCCATGCCCTGCTTCCTTGAATAAATCTCCTGCCTTGGTCCCCCAGTTGGCTTTCAGGGTCAGGCAGTAGGTAGGAGGTTTTGGGGGGCACACTAGCAGACAAGATCTGAGTCAGAATTTCCTTGGTCTTAGATTTCCAGATCTGTTAAATACATATAATGGCAAAAGAATAAGAAAAGAGAGAAAATGCTGCTGATGCAGGCTCTCTGAATCATACCAGATGAGGTCAGAGAGAAAGAACACACAGGCCCCATCTCATCCCTAGGGCAGCTGCCTTCTTCAGGATGGACTCCCATGCACACCAGGGTTCCAGGAAGCTTGCCAGCTTCTGGCTGCTCCTGCCTCTGCACTGGTACAGAGCCGCGAGGACTTTGGGTTTGCACCTGTTCACATGGAATCTGCTCCTAATGCTGTGATCCACTGAACCAGAAAGCTCCCTGAGGGCAGCCCTGAACCCCCACATTCCAACCTCTGGGTCCTTCTCTTTGGACACATAACTAGGACCCCAAGTCCCCATCTGGGACTACTAACTAGATGGTGGAGGGCAGGGGCAGGGGCCAGAAGCCCCTGGCCCCAGGCACATGTCCCACCAGACTCTGAAGACCTACAAGACCTACCTTCCTTGGGACCTAGCCCCATGAGCAGACACACACTGAAGTGGCCAGAGGCAGGCAGGAAAGGTGCCTACCTCGACACAGATCCTGTTCGATAAGTTTCATCTGCAGTTGGAATATCTGCTCCTGGATTTTGCAGATGGCATGTTTCGTTCTCTCACGCCTCGTCACCATGTAGCACAGATTTCTAACCTGAGGAAACATAAATGAGATTTTTCATTTTACTCATGGGTAACCACCCCACACTTCCTAACTCTGGGGGCCTTGCCGCGGGTGAAACCAGTGCCCACCACTGCTGATCCTTGCTCAGAATATCTGGAAATCAATTCTCAGACCCTGAGTGCATCCTCAGCCCCTGTATCCCACGTCTGATCCAAAACCCAGGGCCAACCACAGTCTTGGCCCTGCAGTTCCTGACTGAGCCTGGCAACTTCATCTTCCTTTCCCCAGGTCTCAACTTCCTGGCCAAGTCAGCTAGCATGGGCCTCCTAAGGCCCTTCCAATGTGGTTGTATTACATCCACAGTGCCCATAGCTCATCAAGGTCTCACCAAGTCACCAAGTTCCTCCCTCTGTTTTCTGTCCAAGGCCTATCTTTCCCAACAGAGAAACTCTTCAGACATGAGCACCGTGGCAAAATCTAACACCTATCCTGAGCCATGAATGGCCTCTCTTAGAGCTTAAGAGAGCTCCCTCAGAACAGCTTTGAGCAGACAGGCAGTCCTAACACACCAGTGCCAGTCTGCAGCTAATCCAAGTCTACCTACTGCATTAGGACCTGAGCCAGGCCCCTGCTGCTCTGACCAAAACTCCCACATCCACATGGCACGTTCACTCAGCCACAGTGACAGAATTCAGCAGGAAGGGCAGAGGCCTCTCTGATTGCCTTAGGCCACATGGGAAGAGCCCCTAAGGGCTTTGGAGACCAGCTTGCTCAGCCCATGATGCACATGGTTTGGAAGCACCTGGGGGATAGACTATGGCTGTGCCTGGCCACATGGCACCTTACCCGACTGTGCCAGCCTTCCCCAGCTACTCGTCAGACTTTTGGAGCCAAGATTAGGCTCCCTCCCTGAGACATTTCCTTGTTCTGGCATTATCTTCAGCTCAGGGTAGAGCCTCCAGTATCAAGGACAGCTAGCCAAAACTGCAAAGCTTAAATCCCAGATCCCACCAGGGTTTTCCCAGCTGAGTCTAGGCTCTATCTCCAGCTGGGTTCCACCTTTGAAGCTGAGTTCAGTCTAATATCCTTAAGCTTCCCTGGGTGACCTCTGGTTCCTGAACCTGCCAACATGACCGCCATTTTTCCAGGCCTAAGGGTAGCTGTCATCAGACCTGTCTCCTGGGTGTGGAACACCTTTCCTTCCAGTGCCTAGTTGTGAAAGGCACCCCAGAAGGCGGTGTGCTCTGGTCTCAAGCTTCTCTGAAGGACAGGCTCTCTGTAGCATTTCATGCTGGTGCGTGTACTCCCAACCTAGCTAGTGAGCACTGGGCCATAGCTCAAGGGAGCCCCAGCTCTCCCCACTGGCATGGCCCAACTTCCCCTCTTATTTATTTTCAGTTTTCAGCTGGGGCTAGGTATGAACTTACCACCTCTGGCATATGGGGCCGGTGCCTTACTCAATTGAGCCATAGACACCACTCCCAACTTTCTTCTTAAATCCTGGACCTCCTCAGGAACCCCCTTCAACCAGCCTACTCCTCACACAGCCTTAAGCACTGTCTACAGCCCTGTGAACTTGTGTTGTGTAAGGGCCCTGGGCTCAGCAGTGCATGATGATGATGCTAGGTGGGGTCCCTTTCGTTTTGGAGGCTGCCACCTAGCAAGCCCACCTCCTGATGTGAGGCGGTGAGCAAGGTGGGGGACTGTGAGCAAGGCTTCTTGGACAGAGGTACCATGCAAGTGGGAGCGGATCACACATAGAGGGGGCGGGGCATAGCTTGGGGACAAGGAATCTAGGACAAGGCCAGGTAAGGGAAATAGAGCCAGGCCTTATGGCTTGAGAGGCAGGGAGCAGGGAGCAGTAAGGACTGGCTAAGCTGGCAAGGGGCAAGGCACCGGCTTTGACACCTAACTGAGCCACACCAAGGGCAGTTGTCCAGGGTTTTGGCAGAGTGGTTAAGAGCTAAGACCTGGGAATTGTCCTCAATGATGTGTCTCCTCTTCATGGGTACCCATAGCTAATCCATCAGGGTGGCCACCACCCTTTCCTTGAGGATGACTTCTTCTATTGGCTCCCTTCACCTCCCAGTCCTGCTCACCTCTGACATAAACAGTGGGCTATACTGACCCTTCTGCTGTTCCAAAGCCACCTCCTTGAAATGTAAACAGACCATTTCCCTCCTCCTCTTCAGATTGCCTTCAGATGCTCCTGTACTAGGTTGAATAGCATTCCCTCAAAATGTGATCTTATATATGGAAATAGGGTCTCCGTGGATGTAATTAGTTAAGATGAGGTGGTACTGGATTTGGGAGCCCTTAATCCAATGTGATTGGTGTTCTTACACAAGGCCATGTGAAGACCCAGGGACCCAAAACACAGGGAGAATGCCATGTAACAAGCAGAGGCAGAGACTGGACTGACACCTGTAAGTCAAGGAACACCAAGGCTTTCTGACAACCAACAGAAGCTTGGAGAGAAGTAGAAAGAGATTCTTTCTCAGCACTCCAGAAGGAATCAGCCTGGGTGACACCTTAACTTTGGTCATTGATCCTCCAGAACTGTGAGAATCAATTTGTTTATGGTCATCTAGCTGGTGGCACTTAGGGCAGCCCTAGGAAACTAACAGAGCTTCCTTCTTATCACACTTTTTATTTATTTATTTATTTGGAGACAGACTCTCACTCTGTTGCCCTCAGTAGAGTGCTATTGCGTCAGGGCTCACAGCAACCTCAAACTCTTGGGCTCAAGCAATTCTCTTGCCTCAGCCTCCCACATAGCTGAGACTACAGGTGCCGGTTATCACACTTTTAAAAAACAGCCACAGCCTCAAGCCTTGCCCAATCACTGCATAGTTCATGTTCAACAGCCTTCAGGCCTTCTCTGTCAGTACCTAGGCCACTTCTGCCATGGGGGCCTTGGCAGGTGATCAACTCTTGGCCTGAATGCTCCTCATCCATGTTCCCAGGGCTGGACCTGGTCCTTCAGGTCTTGGTTCAGATGTCACCTCCATTCTCTGCCCTGGCACATGTGAACAACCCAATATTATCCTCCTCCCTACACTTGAATTGTTTCCTTGTTAGCAGTCAAGTGGGTGTGGTAAGGATGAACAGATGGAGATGGATTCATGACTATTTGTAGGCCAAAAAACAAACCAGTTTTATCTCACCTAAAAGCAATTTAATTAAGGTACAACTCTTAAAACATTTTCTAAAACATGCCATCCTGGAGTTTACACCACCCTCAAATCTAACCTCTAAAGGTGAGGAATCAGATGAGGGAAGGCTCAGAATTGTGATTTGAACCGAAGAGTGAGCTGAATCACAGTTGTGCTTAATTGTTTCAAATTAAAATGTAGACACAAGTGTTTTTTGTCTGCCACCTGAAGCTACAGAGCAAGGTTTCTTATGCCATAATCAAATGAATTTCTACCATCAGCATCACTGGGGCTGGATGGTTAAAAACAAAGATTCCCAGGCATGAAGGACATCCAACTCTGGGGTGGGGAGGAACCTCAAATACACATATTCTATAGCACCGTGGAATCTGAGTGCCATTGCCCCAAGCCTAGGGCCTCAAAGATGAGATGCTTATGAGTGATACAATTTATAGTAGTATAAGAAAAAAAATATTAGAATAGTGATATATTTTTTCTTGATCCTATTAAAAATTATGATTATGGGCTGGGTGTGGTGGCTCACACTTGTAATCCTAGCATTCTGAGAGGCTGAGGTGGTTGAGCTTAGAAGTTCAAGACTAGTCTGAGCAAGACTGGTGGTAGCTCATGCCTGTAATCCTAGCACTTCAGGAGGCCAAGGCAGGTGGACTGCCTGAGCTCACGGGTTCGAGACCAGTCCAAGCAAGAGCGAGACCCTGTCTCTAAAAAATAGCTGGGTGCTGTGGCAGGCACCTGAAGTCCCAGCTACTCAGGAGGCTGAGGCAAGAGAATTGCTTAAGCCCAAGAGTTTGAGGTTGCTATGAGCTATGATAATATCAAGCACTCTATCCAGGACCTAAGAGTGAGACTATGTCTCAAAAAAAAAAAAAAAGGGCCTGGCTTGGCGCCTGTAGCACAGTGGTTACCGCAACAGCCACATACACCAAGGGTGACAGGTTCAAACCCAGCCCGGGCCAGCTAAACAATGGCAATCACAACAAAAAAATAGCCAGGTGTTGTGGTGGGCATCTGTAGTCCCAGCTACTTGGGAGGCTGAGGCAAGAGAATCGCTTAAGCCCAAGAGTTTGAGGTTGCTGTGAGCTGTGATGCCACAGCACTCTACCCAGGGAGATAGCGTTGAGACTCTGTCTCAAAAAACCCCAACAGTATAAAAATGAATCAAGCAGAAAGTCATCCATAACTAAGACAGGGATTGCTAATAAACAGAGGTTTTACATTCTGATGAATTTGTTTTGATATTAACATGTTTTGCACAGAGTGCTGGGATGTGGGGCTGAGGAGCAGGAGGCAGGCATGAACCTGCTAGCTATGTCCTGTGACGGCTCCTTTAGGTGGAGACGAGGGAAGTTTTGGGAGGAAGCATATCAGGCATGAGACACTTGGTGGTCTTGGGAAGGGAGCTTAGAAGGGAGGTGTGAGCAGAAGCCACTCCACACAGGAGGAAGCTGTGGAGCACTTGTGGAAGATGGAGCCAAGAGTGAGTGGGCAGGCAAGTACGACGGGAGAGCCCTATGACCCAGGAGCAGTCAGAGAGGGAATAGGGGAACCTAGACATTACCAAGACTGGTTGGAGCTTCACAGGAGGAGGATTTCAAGACCAAGGGCAGGTCTGACTGTGCACCCACTGCCTAGAGGACAGGAGGACAGCCTCTGGGATTGGTGGGGTGGGAGTAGGCGCCTGGCCAGAATGAGAAGCGAAGAAGTAAACACCACGAGGGACAACAGGAAGGAGAGACCAGGGTGGGAGCGGAGGAACTCATGACTGGAGAGACACAGACAGAAAGGATTTGCTTTTGAAGTTAAGAGAGGCTTAAGTAGATGAAAATACTGGTGGAAGGGGCAGCATCTGTGGCTAAAGGAGTAGGGCACCGGCCCCATATACCAGAGGTGATGGGTTCAAACCCGGCCCAGCCAAAAAAAACTGCAAAAAAAGAAAAAAGAAAATACTGGTGGAAAAAAGACCCAGAGAGGGGATGAAAAAATGACAGACATTCTGGTGCTGCAGGCTGTAGGCTGGAAAGAGATCCCTGGAAGGAGAAGGAGAGGATGGGAAGGAAGGACAGAGAGAGTGGTTCCAAAGGCTTCTGCTGGCAGGAGTTAAAAGGGTAGGAGGCGAGGCTGTCTGCTAAGAGCAGAGGGGAGGCCTGAGGTGGGTGGAGCAGGGGATGGAGAAACCAGGCATTTGATGGGGCTGCATCCTGCCAAGGCTGGACAGTAGGCACACTGGGAGGACTCTCCTGCTCACTGCTATGGGATCTCTCCTAGTGGGCTGGGGCCTGCCAGGAGTATGGCCTCAGCAAAGGGGAAAGGGCATAGGCAGTGGGTCAAAGCCTAAAGTGGTAGGGGGTGAATGTGAAAAAAGCTCACAGAGGGAGGACAGAGAAGGACAGAGTGCCTGGAAGACAATAGGAGCCTGTGGTCACTGGAGAGGGCGTGGGGACTGATGGGTTACTGACCTGGGAGGAACTGAGGTGGTGACTAGGCTGGGGTAGGGAAAGGGCACTAACCAGTTGGAGAAGCCCCAGAGCTAGGAGGTATGAAGGGGGCTGAAAAGCCAGAGGTCTGCAGGCTGGACCTGCCCAGGACAAGTTAGGCTATGTGTGAGGGGGAGCCCACAATCTGGGCGAGTGAACAGGGCGTGACCAAGTGACCAGGAAGCAGGCAGTGGGCTTCACAGGAGAGGAAGACCTGCTTCTCACTGAGCCTCTCTCCTTAGGGGGTTTTCCCATGTCCATCCCCTGGGCAAGTGTGTGTCTAAGAGCTGCCTCCACCCTCCTGGCCTCCTCCCCTGGCCAGGTCAGGCTCTCAAATTCCTGGTGACAAGATCTAGAGCCACAAGCAGCAGGTCCCTGTAGAGTCTGCCAGTCGGCACGGTTGCTAGGGGACACAGCCTGTGCTTGTCCAGCTGCTGTCAGTGCAGCAATTTTTTTTTGTCAGCTGTGAATAGCCCTGTGAAGCTGCAGTGGCCAGGCCTCCTCAAGCTGTCCAGCAGGGCCACGGCCTATGGCTGAAATGTTTAGGAACACAAATCTGGGCTGACCATAAAATGGGATTTCACTCTGGTGGCTCCCTACTTCTCTCAGCAAAATCTCTGCTTGGACCTTGGGTTACCAATCTGGGAGGATGCTGTGGTTCCCAGACCTGCCCTTTTGGCCCTCCATGGAGCCCATCCTTGGAGTACCAGGCTTGACCTTCCTTCTTCTAAGAGCCAAACTATTTGTGGGCCAGAGCAGAGGTAATCACAGCCAGCAGTGGGAGGCACTGTGCAGGGTTTTGTCTCCTACCCTCACAGCAACCAAATGATTCTTTCTTTTATTTTTTTTTTTTTGAGACAGCATCTTAAGCTATCACCCTAGGTGGAGTGTCATGGCATCATAGCTCATAGCAACCTCCAACTCTTGGGGGTCAAGTGATCCTCTTGCCTCAGTTTTTTCTACTTTTAGTAGAGATGGGGGTCTCGTTTTTGCTCAGGCTGGTCTCGAACTCCTGATCTCAAGCAATCCACCAGCCTTAGCCTCCCAGAGCGCTGTGATTACAGGTGTGAGCCATTGCACCTGGCCAACCAAGTGATTCTTATGCCCATGTTACAGACAAGGGAACTAGAACTCAAAGAGGAGGAAACTGAACACAGAAGGCACAGAGCTGGCAAGTGCTGGAGTTGGATGGAAATCCAAGCTACCTAAGAATCATTCTCAAGCCCTACCCTGATTTCCCATGAATCTGCGTCAAAGCTGGCTTCTATGCCCAGTCACAGACTAGATACCCTCAGCTGTTGGTGCTGGCCGGGGGTTAGAGACTGGGCCTGCTGTCCAGACCACCGATGGCCACAGGTCTTTGCAGAAAGCCTCCCCATGGTAGAAGTCTCAGCGCTGTCCATTTATTTAAGTTGCCAATGCATGGCTTTGAAAGACCTGGAGGCTGTAACGCTGAAAGGGTCACCCTGCCTTATGGCTCTCCCTCTCCTTGGCCCTGCCAGGGCCATGTAGTCCCTCACCCTAATCTCAGCTGGTGCCCTCCTGAGCCTCTTCAAAGCTGGCACTGCTTCCTCTTCCTGGAGGGTAAGTGGGATGGTTCACATGGGCTTTGAAGGGCTTAGACGGCAGCTCTGGTTGCCTTGGAACCCCAGAGCCTGCAAAGCACAGTCCCAGACCCCACCTGTACCAGCCGGCACTGGGGTGAAAGGTTGGGGGCTGATAAGGGACTGCTTTTACACAGGAATTTATAGAGAATAAGCCAACATCTCTCAGCCTTGTCCCCTATTCAGGTCCAAATTCAAGCTTAAACCCTAGAAATCAAGTTCCTCTAAGGCTTCCTGTCACCTCATCTCTCCAAGCCCCAGTCAGTGCATTTGTTTTAGTACGGCAAGTCTCTTTTTCCAAAATGATAACAATATAAGCACATCAGCCCTTGACTGCCTCAAGCACCCAGCCAGGGCCAGAATCATCGGCTAAGCAGCAGAGAACAGGGAGGGAGGTCAGTTTTCATGGCTTGTTTTAGAAACAGCAGGAATAAAGCAGGTATTTGCCCGGGAGGTGGAGACTTGGGTAAGGTTAGGACAACTCTGGAAGCAGCTTTGGCCTCAGAAGAGCTTGCACCTGATGCCCCTGACACGTGATAAAAGGCTGGGCTGCCCCAAAGGTGATGGCTGCAATGTAAGTGCCTTGTCCTCTGCCCAGGCTAGAGCAGCGATGTTCTCTCCCACTTCCCCACTTCCTTCTAACCTGGAGACAGCCCAGCTGCCAGGTAGTGAGTGCCCTCCCAGGCCAATCGGACATTTTCTCCCTTGAGCAGGCCCCAGGACAGAGGAGCTGGTCCAAACCCCTTCTCCCACCAGTACAACACCTGTTGTTCAGACTTGCCCACTGAGATGTAGATTAGAAAAGCAGTTGCCTCGGGTCACACAGAGCTCCCTCAAGGTTTCCACCCAGGCCATTTCTTTTCTTTCTTTCTTTTTTTTAGAGACAGAGTCTCACTTTGTCACCCTTGGTAGAGAGCCCTGGTGTCACACTTCACAGCAACCTCCAGCTCTTGGGCTTAGGCAATTCTCTTGCCTCCCGAGTAGCTGGGACTATAGGCGCCCGCCACAATGCCTGGCTATTTTTTGTTGCAGTTTGGCTGCGGCCAGGTTCAAACCTGCCACTCTCAGTATATTGGGCTGGCGCCCTACTCCCTGAGCCACAGGCGCCACTCCCAGGCCATTTCTTGACGAGGCCCAGGGAGAGGGTGGGACTGTGTATCTGTGCCCATGGAGGACACCGTGCCTTGATGCTGTATGTTTTGGAACCCTAAAACTTAATGTGCAGAGGCCAGAACAGTTCCTGAGGTTCAGAGGATTGGACCAAAGACACTAATAGCCCGCTTCATCTCACTCAGCCCCCACAGCTACCACCCTGGACTAGCTACTACCACCTGTTTCTAAGCACGTGGCTGGGGCGGGGGATGTCTGCCAACCCTTCCATTCGAGATTGTGTCTCCTCTCCAGGCCAAGTGTTTGGTGAAAGGCCCTGCCACAACTGGATAGTCCCTGCTTAGAACCCTTCTGTAGCTTCCAGACACACTTTGGTCCAGCTTTGTGTGATCTATCAGATGCTCCAGCCTCACCCTTCCACTCCACATAGGCTGCTGCTATCCCTAAAGCCTCTGTCCAGCACCCTATGGAGCCATATTCACACCCATCCACCCTACCTGGCCCAGCACATGCTCTTCTGGCTGAACCTTGCTCCTTTATGAAAAAAAA